ACCGCTGCTGCTCAGGTTGTTCCCTCTGGCCCGCTGGGCCGGACCGGTGCCGGCGCACCGAGAGCTCCGCCTTCCGCGCTAAATGGCCAGAATATTTCAAATTCAGGCTTGGTCCCTGGTGGGCTGCGTGACAGCGTCGTTAGATTAAGCCCCGTAAATCCTGGTCTTCGTCTTGGAAAAGGAGCGGAAAGAAATGACACCTCCGATCGCGGTTGCCAAAGGGGTTAAGTGAGAAGTCGCCCCGAGAGCCCTCGAAGCTGTCATTCCCCTCCCTTTCTCATCCTCTCACCCTGGGTGCCCCGGTTTTCAGAGGGTTGTGGGGTGCACCCAAGCCCTGAGCTGCTGGACGTGGATTGTCCCGCCCCTTTACTTTATAGCTATGAGCCTTTCGATCCACAGGCTTCATTTGTATTTTCTGCCAACAGGGTGACGTTTTTAATATACTGTAACATTGATCATTTAACGTTTTTTTAAAAAAAAAATGTTTTTATTGATTTTTAGAGAGGAAGTGAGAAGGAGAGAGAGATAAAAAAAACATTGATGTGAGAGAGAAACATCCGTTGGTTGCCTCCCGCAGGCACCTCTACCCGGTACCCGGGATCCAACCTGCAACCTGGGTCTGTGCCCCGACCGCAACCCAACCAGCGGCCTTCCGCGAAGCCCGGCCAGTTGAGCCGCGCAGGCCAGGCCCCCAGGGTGATGTGTAAACCTTTCCACTAAGCCGTCATTAGGGGAAGATGTGATGAGAAGGGACATCAGTCTTCTAAGAAGATGTGATGAGAAGGGACATCAGTCTTCTAAACTAGTGGGCAAACCACAGCCAAGTCCAACTTACTGCCTGTTTTTGTGTGACAACCCTCAAGCTAAGAATAGTTTTTATGTCTTTAAGGGTTGAGGGAGAAATTACAAGAAGAATATTTAATAACATGAAAATTAAATGGAATTCAAATTTTATTGCCCTAACTTAAGTATTTATTGGAATATAGCTTTCCTGCTACAAGGGCTGAGTAGAGTACGTACAACAGAGACCATATGGCTCAGGAAGCCTGAAATACTTGCTCCTTGGTCCTTTACAAAAGAAGGTGGCAGACTCTTCTAAATTATAACAAGCGGGTTTTTAAAAATAAGCACTGTGACTTTTTCAGGTTCTCCACTGCTTTGAAAGGCTTTGGCTAATAAAGCTCACTTTAAAAATTCCTTCCTACTTGTCATCTAAAATGCTAAAACATTAAAGACATGAGAACTTTCCCATCTCAGCTAAAAAGGAACGATCCTTTCAGTGTGTCTTAGAAACGCCAGCCTGATTAACATCTAATAAACTGCTCTTTTCATTTGGAATTTTGAAACAAGGTACTGTGCATGGAGCTTTAGGAAGTTGCCTAATGTTTCTTAGCTTCTTTGTGACTCAAAGACAAAGCAACAGTTTCAGATTTATGAAACTACTATGAAGTGTGAAACTTCTTATAAGTACAACTTAATAGCTAATTCCCGTTTACCCACAGCTTTTCTACTTAACTTTATGTATGATTTTGAATTAGGTAGAATCCAGATAAGAAACTTTGAATTACTTACCTATCCAAAGATTAGTATTCCTGTTATTTTTCTGGATCTCCCGAGCATGTTACAATCTGGTTGTAACTCATCAGTGTTTGTGATTTCCCCATTTTGATCTAGTTCTTGGTGTAGCAGTTCTCATTAACGCTCACTTCACTGTGGCCCGTTAAGAATAAATTAAGCCCAGCCAGTTTGGCTCAATGGATTAGATTCCCGTCAAGGGCACATACCTCGTTGCAGACTCCATTTCTGCCCTGGTTGGGGATGTGTGGGAGGCAACCAATCGGTGTCTCTTTCACATTGATGTTTCTCTCTCTCTCCCTCCCTTCCACTCTCTCTAAAAATCAATGGAAACATATCCTCAGATAAGGATTAACCAAAAATATAAATGAAAATAAAGAATACAGATGATGCATTCTAGAATTGTACACCTGAAACCTATATAATTTTATTAACCAATGTCACCCCAATAAATGTAATAAAGTGAAAAAAATTTAAATATCAAATTTTTAACTTTTCCTCATAGGTGCTGTTTTCCACTGTATTCCATTTTGTTGTTTTTCTCTGAGGCCCTAAAGTTCTATATGCCATTTTAAATAAAATGAGGCCAAACTAGGAGACTTTAATGCTGAGTTTATTTATATTTATTTTGTTGCATTAACTCCCCCAAAATGAGTTGCTTTATCATACAATAATGAGTAAAATCTCAGTAAATATATGACTTTCTCTCTCTCTTTTTTTTTTTATCCGTTTTCAGGCTGAGGGCACAGACAAAACAACAACTCTTGGAATATAAATCAATGGTTGATGCAAGTAAGTATTTGCATTTTCAGATAAGGTTTTGTGAGTTTGATGATGAGCAGTACTCTAGTGAAAATAAAATAAACTTTACAAAAAATTATTTACTTGGGGAATAAGAGTGACATAATAATGCTATACTATACCATGTAAGAAGGCAAAAACCAGTTTGCCCTGCCCATCGGAATTAGTTAGGGATTTGGGAAATAGATATTAAACAAATAACAATGCACAAGACAGTTAAGTTCTGTTGATCAGGGAATTGGGAAATCCCGGTGGGCTTAAGGAATCGTAGAATTTGCTATACCATCAACAATCTGAAGATTGAACTAGCAGATCAGATAATTATGAAGCAAGTGCTCTGAGACCTATACTTTGTTTTTTGTTGCTTTTTATTGAGACCTACACTTTGAAAAGCACTGGATAATAGGGATTTTTTAAAAATAAGTGTTTATTGATTTGAGAGATAGAGAGAAACATCGATTGGTTGCCTGAAACCTGAGCATGTGCCCTGACCAGGAATGGAACAGGTGACCTCTCCATGCATGGGACAGTGCTCAACCAATTGAGCAACACTGGCCAGGGCTAAATTGATAGCATTTTAACTGGGATTTGATTAGTATCTTTAGATCAATATGGGGGAAATTGCTACATTAGCAATATTGATTCTCCCAATACATGTACATGGTATATCTTTCCATTAAAATATTTGGTATTGTTCAGTGTAGAGGTCATACACATATTTTGTTAAATTGATTCTTAAGTATTTCATGTTTTTTAATATAATTGTCCATGATATTTTTAAATTTTAATTTGTATAAACATACAGTTAATTTTTTAATATTGTTCTTGTTCATTTTTTACTCCCTTTTATTTTCTATAATTCCAACATTGTTCTGTCCAATATGGTAGGCACCTGCTCTGTGACTGCTGAACACTTGTAATGTGTTTAGTCCTCATTGAGAAGGGCTATAAATGTAAAATAAGCACAGAAGAAGAACTTGTGAGATATTTCATTAGTAATTTTAAAATGACTACATGTTGAAATGATACTGTTTTGCATCTATTTGGTTAAGGTATATTAAAATTATTTGTATTTGTTTCTTTACTTTTGTAATGTGGAAACTAGAAAATAAAAATTACATACTTGGTTTGTATTTGTGGCTTACATTATATTTCTGGACAGCACTGTTCTAAAATGTCACTAACTTCAAAAAATTATTTATTTGTAGATGAAGAAAAAACTCCAGAAGAAATCATTCCAGAAAAGCAAATTGAAACGTAACTTTATTTGTGGTTTTTACTAATATTTAATAATAATATCTATCTTATAACTTTGCCTCCCCCCTTTTCTTCCCAAGTAATTTGTCATGCATGTATTGAGAATTTGTTGACGCAGGTTTACATCCTGTGATCCTATTAGCACTTTGGCATTCTCCCTTAACAAGATATTTATCAGTATTTCAGGAGTTTAACAAATCTGGAAGTGTATTGGTGTGGCGAGTCTATAGAATACTTTTATTTAGATAGAGGCATTTTACTTTTTTCAAAGGTTTACTTTAGCATTTATTCCAATAATGACTTTTACTGATATTGCTGAAATTCGTTTGTTTATGCTTCTTTGATAGTAAAATTGAAGACCTGGAAAATGAAATTGAAGAGGTGAAAATTGCTTTTGAAATGAAAAAGCTTGCATTGGACAGGTAATTTTTACATTTAGGATATAAGCATTGTGAACTGAATGCAAAATGGCTCAAGGTGGAGAAAATAATTTACTTTAAATGAGCAAAATGATGATTAGATAATGGTCACACATTTTGATCCTTGAGAGACATTACATCATTCATTAGTATCTTCATTTGAAGAAGTTACATAATAGAGGGTTAATAAGGAAATATCAATCAAGGCAATAGAAATGTGAGGTTAAATCCCATTCAGTGTTGAAAGGATTACATGGATTTGATTATTCCAGTAACTGTTCATTGAGTAAAAGAATGGTCATCAAGTTTAAAGAAAGTATATTTTTAATTATAAGTTTTGCATCTATATTTAAAATCAACAAATACGTGAGTGCTTGTTATGTCTTAGCTTTACACTAGGTGTTGGTATACTATTGTTAATAAAATAAACATAGTTTCTTACAGATTTTGTGATCTGACTAATCTCAATTAAGTGAATGACTTTTAAAATTACTATCTTATATTTCTGGCCTTCTCAGATGAATTTCTTTATATGTTTAATTGAAAAGTAGTTAAAGCACTTTTAATTGTTTCTAACAGTGAGCTTTTCCCCTCCTCTCATATGCTGGCTTGTTATATAGATCATATTTTTTAACTAAGGTGACTTCAGAGGTATTAAGAGATCTCCTTTTAGTGAACTGAATTTTCTTGTGTGTGACAGAAGGGAAGGGCTCTAATATTGCTGAGCTGATTGCCTTTTCATTTTTACTTAATTATTAGCTGTTTGAATTTGAAGGTGATTTATGGAGCTTGTTGGTATGTAGGCATATGTCAAGTTCACAGTTCAGTGTGGCCTTGTATTCCCTAACTCTCCATCTCAGGCCCTGTTGCTCTCTGTAGTGCCTTAATGCTGTGTTGCTTCCTTCTGCACCAAGGTGGATGGCTTGGGGAACAAAGCTCAGGCTGATTACTCAGTCCCCAGCCTGTCAATGCACAACCACATGCAACAGTCCCATCCATCTTAGTGTTACTTCATATTTCCGTGATTTATTTACCAGTATTTCCCATACAATACTGTTTTTAAATCTACTTATGTTTTACATTATATTTAAACGGAAATCAATCTTTAACTTGTCACATTTTAAAATTTTCTTTTCAGTGTACCATAAATGTTATCTATGTTTTGTAATGCAAGCTTCTCCTCTCTCATAGGATGCAACTTTCAAGGGCACTTAGAAAAAACCTGGAGGAGAGTAACATTCAGACTAGGTACTTATTTTTTTCCTGTATTTGGTAAGGATGGGAATAAGAAGGGGCATCTGCATATTGACTTTGGTTTCTTGATTATTTAAAATTGATTTTAGAGAGAAAGGAAGGGAGAGGGGGAGAGAGAGAGAAATACTAATTGGTTGCCTCCCATATGCAACGTGACCTGGAATCGAACACTCGACCTTTCAGTCTATAGGTCAATGCTCCAACCAACTGAACCACACCAGCCAGGGCTCGTGATTTTTTAAAAAATTAACTATCACTGCCAACCACTTTTATCTGGGGAATAGGAAAAGTGATGGAATTTTTGTGGACTTTCCTCACTCAGCATTACAACAACTTTTATAGTCCTGCTGACATCTTGTTCATAATGCAATGCTAAGAAGCAATTTAGGTTTTAACCAGATTATTTTGAAGGAAGGTTTGAAAGTTAATTTTGTGCACTATTTACTGAAAATCAGGAACCATGCTATTTCATTTAATCCAACAACACCCCAATGATAGATAGAAAGTATACTCTTTATTTTTCATTGGCAGAAATGAGCTTGTATATATTAATTTGCCAAGGAATATAACGTAAAGACTCTGGCAGTCAAGGTCCTCTATAATCTGGTTCTAAATGTCTTGCCTCGCCGAAACCGGTTTGGCTCAGTGGATGGAGCGTCGATCTGTGGACTGAAGGGTCCCGGGTTCGATTCCGGTCAAGGGCATGTACCTGGGTTGTGGGCACGTCCCCAGTGGGAAATGTGCAGGAGGCAGCTGATCGATGTTTCTCTCTCATCGATGTTTCTAACTATCTCTCTCCCTTCCTCTCTGTAGAAAATCAATAAAATATATTTTAAAATGGACCTTTCCGTCCGCAGTCCGATGCTCCATCCACTGAGCCAAACCGGTTTTGGCAAAATTTTTTATGTAAAATCCCCTCCCATGAGAGTAGGAAAATACTAAGATGGATCTGGGTACTTCTCCTATCTTAGTTCAGACTCATACACATTCTCCTCATATTCCATTTAAATCCAGGGTTACATAAATCCTAAAATCTGAATTTGAGCTCATTAACTATTGCTCCCCTTAAAACATTCCTTGGGTGTGAAGAGAGCAGAGCGCCTGAAGAATGGGTCCTCTGTGTATAACACATCCAAAAGCAACTTGTGCTTACTCCTCACTGGTGGCAGGATGCTATGACCTTCCTGTGACATTACACCCTATATATTGCGGACGGATCACAAGGATTCTCGTGTTTTCATATTACACAGTGTTTTAGAAAGTATCATACTTTAAAAAGACATTAACTTCTAAGAACATATAATAAATAACTTCAAAATGCAATGGGTATTTTATTTTAAGGCGTACCTTTAACATTTATGTAAAACATTTTTTGTACTCGTTCAAATAGAAACTTATTTGGCCACTGGGTAAAGTTAGCAATAAAACTACTGGCCCGCAATGTGTTAAAAAAAAAAATTCTGAGTTAAAGGGGCACAGGACAGATTCATCATAAACTTTAAAATCAAGCATAGCTATAACCAGTAGAAAATCTTCCACATCTGTGTAAATATTCCTTTTTCAGCCTCCGCACTACACTCCTTCAATATCAGAATTACTATTTTCACAGTGATCACTCTGCTGGTCCCATCCCAAACCTACTGACTCTGAACCTAAAAACCAAGGTGTGGGGGTGGGTGGGAGTTGGTGGGAGAGCAGCTGGCAGTCTACATGTAACAAGCCTCTCAAGGGGTTGTGGCACTTTGAAGTAAAACTGTTTTTCACACCTTTGGCTCTAGCCAATCCAAACTACTTGACTTAAATTACTTCATGTCCTTTAAGATTCATATCCCTTGCTTCACTCTGTGCAATTCTTACAGTGGTTCATACCCGTTACTGGTTGTAGTGAAACCATACTACGGTTGTACATTTATTTTTCTCCCCGCACCAGGTTCTTTCCTCTTTGAAAACAGGTATTGTGTTTTATTCTGTTTTACATCCCTGGAGCCTGGCACAGTTCTTGGTATGATGTAAGCACTCAGAAATATTCGTTGAAGAAATGGGGATAAAAAAGCAGCTGATTCGCCCTAGCTGGTTTGGTTCACTGGATAGAGCATCGGCCTGGGGACTGCAGGGTCCCAGGTTCGATTCCGGTCGGGGGCATGTACCTTGGTTGCGGGCACATCCATCCCCAGAGGGGGGTGTGCGGGAGGCAGCTGATCGATGTTTCTAGCTCTCTGTCCCTCTCCCTTCCTCTCTGTAAAAAATCAATAAAATATATTTTTTTAAAAAAAAGCAGCTGATTCAGTGAACTATTTTGTATGATACTGTAGTGGTGGAGTCATGTCATTATACATTTGTCAAACCCATAAAATGTACAGCATTCCCTTCCACTCTCTCTATAAAAATCAATGGAAAAAAATAGTCTTAGGTGGGGATTAACAAAAAATAAAATAAAGTTGTGTGGGTTTTTTTTTACAAAAAGCAACTTATGAGCAAGTTTTTGGAATTTTTTTCTCCCTAAAAATGACATTTTTAGAAATGTTCTTACGTGCTTAAATTTGATATTTTTTATTGTCTGTGACCAAACTTTTTTCTAGGAAAATGCATCTCTACTTTAAAAAAAATTTTTTTTTAATTTTTATTGATTTTAGAGAGTAAAGAAAGGGGAAGAGAGATAGAAACATCAGTGATGAGAGAATCTTTGATCAGCTGCCTCCTGCAAATCCCCCATTGGGGATCAAGCCCGCAACCTGGGCATGTGCCCTTGGCCAGAATCGAACCTGGCACCCTTCAGTCTGTAGGTCGACGCTCTATCCACTGAGCCAAACCAGCTAGGGCTGCATCTCTACTTTTAAACAAAAATTTAGTTTACATCAAGTGATGACTTTCTACGAAATGTATTAATAAAAGTAAATATGTACTACTTGATTCCTTCATTAATGAGATTTACTTTAACTAAGGTTAATCTATTTTTTTATTCCTTTTCAGTGAGCTCATGGACAACATGAAACACATATTAAAGCTAAATAAAATAATAATGAAATTACAGCAGGTAACTTTAGGCTTCTAATGCATTCTCATGATTTCAGTAACACTTTCTTGCTGGTAACTGTATTATGTATGATTAAATAGAATTGCTCAAAGGGACTGGTATAGTTGAAATTCACTGTCCTTAAGTTTTCTCTCTCTTTTTATAACTCTATTATTTTTCACTAATATTGCTAAGTGCTTATAATTTAAGTTACTGTCTCCTCTCTTGATGTGTGGAAATGAAGGAATTAATAACGAGTTTTAGAAAACATGAACTAAGATAAAATTCAGTGATGTAAGTATTACAGGTTTGTTCTTAGGTAATGTCCCTTAATTTTTTTATTTCTATTAACAGGAATCTTGGGATTTGGAGGAAAAACTGCTCAATGTTAAAAAGAAGAGATTTGGTATGTAGAACAGTTTTGGTGGTTTGTTTGTTTTTTGTTTAACACATTTTTATTTACTATGGAGGTTGATGAGGCCACATCTCTCAGCTACTGAGACATTTCTTAATAATTTTAAATTTTCCTAAAATTTTAGATGTGGCAATTTTTAAAATATACATATTTTTATTGATTTCAGAGAGAAAGGGAGAGAGAGAGAGATGGAAACATCAGTGAATGGAACCTGGGACCCTTCGGTCCACAGGCCGACGCTCTATCCACTGAACCAAATCGTCTAGGGCTAGATGTGGCAATTTTAAAAGTAGTACATAAAATGTATTTTGCTTGATATATTTTTGTTGTTTCGAACATCAAATCATGATATTAATAAATTCTCAGGGGGGGGATCAAATGATACAGAAAAGTATCATGGGAAAGGCATGGCCTCCTTCATGTGCGACCACAGTTAGACATATTTATTATATGTCATTTTTAAATGGTCGATAAATACATATTGCTCTTTAACTTTTTAACATTAGATGGCTTTTTGCATTGAAATTACTGAAATATTTCAAAAGTAGTACACATTCTCTGTAGAAAATTTGGAAACAGAAAAGTATACATAGGAAAAGTTAAATTTATTTTACCATCAAGAAATAATCATGAAATAAGCCAGTCAATGAAGGAAAAATACCACATGATCTCACTCATTCATGGATAATAGAGACCATTATAAACTTTTGAACAATAATAGATACAGAGGCAGAGCTGCCTCAAACAGATTGTCAAACTGCAGCGGGAAGGCCGGGGAGGGTTGGGGGGCAGGAGGTAGGGGGGTAAGAGATCAACCAAAGGACTTGTATGCATGCATATAAGCATAACCAATGGACATAAGACACTGGGGGATAGGGGAGGCTAGGGGACTGTCTTGGGCGGGGGGAAAAATGGACACATAAGTAATACCCTTTGTAATAAAAAATTAAAAAAGAAAAAAAAAGAAATAATCAGTCTTCAGTGCTTATTTTTTTAGAAAAGTTGGTATCACTTTATTCTGTGTTGTAAAATCCTTTTTCTCATTTAACAGTGTAGGCATGATTCATTATTTTTAAATATACAGATTTGCCTGATTTTAAGTAATGCCAGGGTCAGAAATAGTCTTGGTCATCTGTTCTAATTACCCTTTGGATGCCTAATATTTTCCATTGCATTCCACCCTACTTTTGATACATTAATGGCAAGTTTCCGCGGCATGCCATTTATGTTTTCAAATAGTTTAATTCTTAGAACATACCAGGAACTACAAAAATGGTTGGTGAAGGGAACCTTACTTTTCATTGAAAATTTTTCTTGGTGATATGTCATTTTGAAAATGAAGGAGGAAAACTATTTGCTTACATATATATATATATATGTATATATATCTCCTGCCTGTTTGGGTACCCAGAGTAGCTCCTCTTTGACACAATGTCACTTCAAACACTTGTCAACAGCTATTATCATACATACAAACCTTGAATATTTGCATTGCTAAATATAAAATTAAAATATTGGTATTTTATACCAGGGAAGTCATATTCAGATCAAAATAGATTGCAACCTAAAATGCTCCTTATTAAAAAAATTTTCTTTACTGAAATAACCATAATTTTTAAAGATTCTCCTTTGTAGGAGTTGTCATATATAGTATATTGTTTTATTTTTAACCTCACAGAATTAAAACGAGCTTCAGAAAGTAAATTTTTAGAAATACAGACTGAAAAGAACAAAGAGAAAGATGCTTTGACCAGTATGGAAAATTCAGACAAGATAAAGACCTTGCAACAAAAGCTACAGAAGGAGATACAAATTACTACAGTTATTCAACATGTCTTCCAGGTAAAGTGTATATAAATTAGGAATGGAGGTAAAAAACTTTAAAAAAAAGATTCATTTTGTTACTTTCAGGCTTACTTACAGTTAGTCTTTGATCTTGACAAAATAATTCCGTACTGCTCTGGCCGGTGTTGCTCAATGGATAGACATCTGCCCGTGCACTGAAGGATCTCAGGCTGATTCCTGGTCAAGGGCTCCAACCTGGGTTGCATGCACATCTTTGTCTCTCTCTCTCTCTCTCTCTTTTCCCCACCCTCCCTGCTTTCCAAACTCTCTCTAAACAATAAAGTAAAATCAATGGGAAAAATATCCTCACAGTAAGAATTAACAAAACAAAAAAATTCTGTACTGAAAATTAGCCTGTTTACATATATCTGGAATCCATATATTTTTAATGGTTAAGACTTTGCTTTTTCATTAAGGCAATTTAAATGGAATGATTTTTAGCAGCTCTGTGGAGGCAGAATGATATAATGATGGTGAGCACTAGACTGCAAGTTGGGGATTGGGGGAAAATATGGATGGGCTGATGGGGATCTAGAGTTAAGATCCTGACTGCTACTGAATAGTTGCTGACCTTGAACAAATGACTAACTTCTAAGCATCAGTGTCCTTGTTTAGAAAGAGTGGTTGTGAAAACTAAACACATTCATGTTAATAAATGTAGGTACTTGTTATCGTGTCGAGTTTTAAATCGTAAGTGTCCTATTTCTTTATTCTGGGGGGGGTTTTTAAACTACTTTTTGAATGATAAAATGTCTCTGGAACTGTTGGAATATGTAAATTACCAGTTTTGAATTATGAAGATGCATAGTTTAAACTATTATATGTGAAACAAGTGCATATTATGTGTAAAGCATGTCCTTGTAGAAAATGAGGTTTTAATGTCTCACCATAAGAAATTATTCCCCAGGTCTTTGTTGGGTTTTTTTTTGTTTGTTTTTTTTGGTTAATCCTCACCAGAGGCTATTTTTCCATTGATTTTTAGAGAGAATGGAAGGGATGGGGAGAGACAGAGAGACACACCGATTGGTTGCTTCCCATGCACACCTTGATCAGGGCCAGGGATTGAGCTTGCAACCAAGGTACATGCCCTTGACCGGAATTGAACCTGGGACCCTTCGGTCCACAGGCTAACATTCTATCCACTGAACCAAACCTGCTAGGGTTCTTCCCCAGGTCTTACACCTACTTTTTAGTTGCAGTGGATGATTCTATTAGAAATATTCAAATCCCTTAGGCCAGTGGTTCTGCAAACCGCGGCTCGTGAGCCACATGCGGCTCTTTGGCCCCTTGAGTGTGGCTCTTCCACAAAATACCGACTTCTGCGCATGGGCCACGAAGTTTCAGTCGCACTGTACATGCGCGCCCGCATGTGGTATTTTGTAGAAAAGCCACATTCAAGGGGCCAAAGAGCAGCATGTGGCTCTCGAGCCGCAGTTTGCCAACCACTGCCTTAGGCTAACCTCAAGTAGAAGATTGCATAAGTAAAGAATCATTTTCATTTTCTTTGGCACATATTCCTTCCTACTGCTTTGCGACTTATGTTATTCTGCATTTCTTAATTTTTATATTCTCAAAATTGGTGTTAATCTTGGTTTAATGAATTCATTGCAATGTTTAATAGAACATAGATTTGACCAACTTGGGAGCTCTCTTTGTTCCAAAAGGAAGATCAGCCTTCAGGATTGTCATATTTGAAAGCTTACTTCCATCTGCCTTAGTAAATTTGACTGAATTTATATACACAAGCTCTTTTATTCATTTGTAGCAAGAATTTGCCTTATATAGGCCAAAGTTTTATATATTTTTATATGTAATAATATACCACTTATTCTTTATTTTTTAAATATATTTTATTGATTTTTTACAGAGAGGAAGGGAGAGGGATAGAGAGTCAGAAACATCTATGAGAGAGACACTGATCAGCTGCCTCCTGCACACTCCCCACTGGGAATGTGCCCACAACCAAGGTACATGCCCTTGACCAGAATCAAAACCGGAACCCTTGAGTCCGCAGGCCAACACTCTATCCACTGAGCCAAACCGGGTAGGGCTACCACTTATTCTTTAAAATTGATTTTAACAATATTTCAATTAGTAACTCAGTATCATTGAGCTATGGGTTTTCAAAGAATAATGACCAGAATTTTCATTAATTATGACCTTAATCATTCCTCCATTGTCTAACACAAGAAAATATTCTTCACCTTTTTCAGGGTCTTGAAACTTTGCAAGGACTAAGAACTAAGCTCTTCTTGTACCTCTTTTTAAAAATATGACATATTACTTAGGCTTAAATTGTTGTTCGCCCTAGAACAGTGGTTCTCAACCTTGGCTGCACATTAGAATCACCTGGGAATCTTTTTAAAATCCTGATTTCTGGGCCTCATCCTCTGGAAATCTGTTTCTTTGTTATGGAGTGGGGCCACAACATTAGTAACAAAGAAACAGAATTTCCGGAGGATGAGGCACAGAAAGATAACAGCTGTTATCTTTTCCCCATAATGTAGGCTGCCATTGCAAGTATTTTAAATATGTAAAACTACCCACGAAAATGGATAAAGCATAAAAATTGTTAGCATTGTAAATTCTCCTGGCATTATGGGAATCAAGGTTGAAGCCTTGCTGAAAGTGGAAATGAGGATACAAGAATGTATTACTTGCCCTGGGGGTGGCTCAGTTGGTTGGGCATGGTCCCATGCATGAAAAAGGTTGCTGGTTCGTTCCCAGGTAGGACACGTGCCCAGGTTTTGGCTTGATCCCTGGTAGGAGTCCTGCAGGAGGCAGCTGATCAATGTTCCACTCACACATCAGTGTTTCTTGCTTCCCACCTCTCGCTCTGAAGTAAAAAAAAAAAAATCACAAAATTTATTACTAGTTTTTCTCATGATCAGAGAGTAAATTTTCATACCCAGTTTGGTAATTATGTAATAAGGTCAGTGAAAGAGGATTTTTTTAAAAGCTTGTTAAATTTTTAAAAATATTTTTTTATTAATTTCAGAAAGAGGAAGGGAGAGGAGAGTTAGAAACATCAATGATGAGAGAGAATCACTAATTGGCTCCCTCCTACACACCTCCACGGGGATGGAGCCCGAAATCCAGGCATGTGCCACAATCGGGAATTGAACCCTGACTTCCTGGTTCATAGGTCATTCAGTGCTCAGCCACTTAGCCATACCAGCTGGGCAAAGCTTGTTAAAATTTTAAAAGTACAAAGACTATCCTATATAATAAAGATGTAATATGCAAATAAATGGTCATTATGCCATGAAGCATAACGGCCACTGCATAACGACTGGATCACAGATCCGCAGGAAGGTGGGGTGGTGGAGAGCTACAGGAGGGCAGCAGCGAGGGCGGGGCAGCAGGCAGAGAGCTACTGGTGGCAGAGAGCTACTGGCACATGGATTCGTGTGCAGGGCTACTAGTATATACATAACCATAGACATAGACAGCAGTGTGGTGATGGCCAGAGGGAATGAGGAGGGCATGGGATGGGTGGAGGTGGGTAAATTGGGGAGAAATAGGGACATCTGTAACTGTCAACAATAAAAATAAAGTAAGAAATGCTTAAAACTTTAATTAAAAAAATTTTTTTTTGTATTACAGAACCTCATTTTGGGGAGTAAAGTCAATTGGGCAGAGGATTCTGCCTTTAAGGAAACTGTTCTGCAGCTTGAGAAGAATCTCACCATGATCTGATAAGAATTCTGTTTTGGCATACTTGTTTCTGTCTTTGATGTCATTTAAATAGTAAATTTCAGGTGAAATGTGTCTTTTTCGGTGTTTTATAACTATTATACACAGCTTTTTTTTAAAGCTTAACACTATGATATGGAATCTCTTGCTTTAAATATGATCATTAAAGTGACTGGCATCCTCGAAAAAAATCTGAAGATCTTAGCTTTGCAAATGTCTGGAAAGACATCATCTAATCCAGCTTTCCGCTCAATGTGAACATTTTTTCTACATCCCTAGAAGTCCCAACTCTCATTTGGAATACCTTCATGCATTTCTTTGTCAACTAAAATACTAGAAAAATTAGAAAAGTATATCCACATCTTTATTTTTATGGCTGCCAGTTGTATTTTATTCAAATAATTCTTATTTTAGATTTATCTCACTACAAACTTTTTTTTATTGTGATATAATTGATACATAATGTTGTATAAGTTTAAGGTGTACAGTATGTTGAATTGACCATGGCTTTAGCTAACATCTCCATCGTGTCACATAATTATTTTTGGTGAAAACATTTAGGATCTAGTATCTTAGCAACCTAGAAGTATATAATACAGTAGTGTTAACTATAATCACAGTGCTATGCATTATATATCCAAAACTTACTCAAATTCTATCTATAAATTTGTACCCTTTGACCAACATCTCAATTCCCCACCCCATCTACATCTTTAAAGAGACTTAAATGCACCTCAGCCTTGAAGAAAAACATATTTAGAAGAATTGTGACTTTTTTCTTTTGTATTTATCATGCATAACTTTTATAGATTAAAAAAACAAATTAAAAAAACACAAATTTTGCTTTTCAAATAAAAAACAAAACTGCCACTTTTTATTCATCCCATTCCATCTTTTGTAAATTCTAATTTGAGCTCTTTTTTAATTTGGAGCTGTTGATCATTTTATAGACAATGTAGTGTTTTCAGCATTCTTTAAAAGACTAAACAACTTGAGAAGATGCCCTGCAGGTGTAATAGCATTTGAAATCTGTTCTTTAGATCAATAAAAATGCAGAGATTTGCCTACATTTGTATACTAAACACTTCTTTGGAATATTTATAGTGTTACTTCACTTCTTTTGATAAATCATTTATTTGTAATTTTGTTCTTTTTGCCACAGCATATTCTTGGAAATTGTCAACATAAATTGTAAAACTATTTTTCTTCTAGAAAAACATTCTGGCCCAGCTGGTGTTGCTCAGTAGTTGAGCATGGGCCTATGAGTCAGGGCAGATGCCTGGGTTTCCACTGGATCCCTAGTAGGGGACGTGCAGGAGGCAGCTGATCAGTGATTCTCATCATTGATGTTTCTGTCTCCTTCTGTCTTCCTCTCTGAAATCAATAAACAAATTTTTTTAAAAAAAAGATGACTCTGTCCCTATCCGGTTTGGCTCCGTAGATAAAGCGAAGGCCTGCGGACTGCATGGTCCCAGGTTCAATTTTGGTCATAGGCCGGATGGGAGGGAATTAAAAAAAAATAAAGATTAACTGTAATACATGTTTTAGTGTTGTTTTCCCAAAGCTTTTTTTTCCTCTTGAGTTTAGATGGCAGCTAGAGAAACCACACATTAAACCACATGCCCAGGTTACTGGCTCCCTCCCCAGTAGGGGGTGTGCAGGAGGCCATTCAATCAATGATTCTATCTCATCATTGATGTTTCTTTCTCCCTCTTCCTCTCTGAAATCAATAAAAACACTTTAAAAAAAACTTGTTTCTATCATTAAGAAAAAAAGCATTCTGTAAAACAGTGGTTCTCAACCTTGGCTGCACATTAGAATTACCTGGGAATCTTTTTAAAATCCTGATTTCTGGGCCTCATCCTCCGGAATTTCTGTTTCTTTGTTATGGGGTGGGGACACAACATTAGTAACATTTTTCAACTCTGAAGGTGTATTACTGTATTATTAACTTTGATGTGAGAAGTGCTTTTCTCTTTGCATAAGTGTATTTCTTAAAATTGTGTCAGTCTGCCCTAGCTGGTGTGACTTAGTTGCTGTAAAATGTCTTCCTGACCCAAAAATACAGCATTAAATGAATCAGATGCACACTATATTATTGATTCCCAAATCAGCAGATTATCAGTATCATCTGAAAAACTGCATTTTCCTGGGGTTCGATTATCATGTGTGTTCCCTCTTAAACGCCAACTCAGAGAAATAATTGGCTGAATAACTGGATTAAACTCTATGCTGAAATTAGAAACTGGCTTTCGGGGGCGGAAAGGGTCCTAGATCACTCACGGCTAACGATCAAAATAACCCCAACATCGCAAACCCTCGTCTGCAGAACGAGGCGAGGGGAAACACCTGTGTTCTCGGGGGGACGAGGGAGGAGGGTCCCGCCCGCTCGCCCCGCCTCCGTGACGCCACATAAAGGGCCCGCCCCCGGCTGCCCGGGACTCCGGTTGTCGCCGCGGCTCGAGCGCCCGGAAGCTGCCCCTTCTCGGGGTCGTGATGGGCAGCAAGATGGCGTCCGCTAGCAGGGTCGTGCAGGTAAAGCGGTTCGGGCGCCTTTCCGCACCGAGGGCGGTAGGGAGGGTGCTGACTACATCTAGGTAAGGCGCTGGCGAGGAAAGGCGGTGGCGGGGACTGGACGGGGCCGCGGCCGTGAGCGGAGCCAGGGGCGCCGCCCGAGGGGGTGGGGGTGAGGATTAGACCGGGAGCCCGTTGCGTCTGGTGGCAAACCGGGGACCGGAGTTGAGGGTTCGAGCCAGACCGCGGGAACGTCGCAGCGCAGCACGTAGGCTCGCGGCTGCTTGGCGGCCCCCTGCCCTGTCCTCCGCGAGGACACCGTTGGCCCTCCTGGGAGCCTGGGGCTCGGCGGCCGCTGTCGCCCGGCCAATCGGCATCTGGCATAGTCGGCGACGTCCCGGCTCAGCCAATCGCAGGGAGGCGGCAGCGGCGAGGGCAAGGAAGCCAGCCCTGCCCTGACCCGGTGTCCCTTCAAGGTCTTGGGAATGGGCCAGAGCTGGCGGCGTCCTTGACCCGGACTGGGTCCTCCCACCGACTCGAATGTCTGGTTATCGGCCGGATGGAGGGAATGAAGAAAAGAAACAAGATGAACCGTAATACGTGTTTTAGTGTTGGGTTCCCAAGCTGCTTTTCGCTCTTGAGGTTAGATGGCAGCTGGAGGAACCACACATTAACCCACACATTGGTTACTAACACCTGGTAGCTTTTCTTCCAGCTGTGGTCTCAGCTTAAATAGGAGGGGTGACATTGGCCATTAAGGGACATAACCTCCACTGATGGTTGGTGTACACGATCATTTTCAGCTCTGAACGTGTAATATTGTATTATTAACTTTGATATGAGAAGTGCTTTTCTCTTTGTATTTCCTAAAATTGTGTCAGTCTGCCCTAACTGGTGTGACTTAGTTGTACCAAAAGGTTGTGGGTTGGGTTGTTCCATTCCTGGTCAGGTCACAGACTGGGTTGCTGGTTTGATCCCCAGTGGGGAACCCTCGGGAGGTGTAACCCATCTCAATGTTTCTCTCACATCTATGTTTCTCTCTCCTCTCCTCTCCCCACCCATCCCCTCTCCTCCTCCCCCTCTC